CTTTTGTTATCTTTTTCATGAGCTTTCTCATCTCTCAAGTTCTTTATGTGTTTCCTATATAAGTTATATGCCCTCCTTTGTTGGGATACTTGGTTTGATATTTAAACTAGATTTTGAAAATTATTCGTGGACTTGGTGTTGGGCACTCTCGTAGATTTTTTATTTTTCAGTGCAGTTTAACATTTTCGCGCCAGAATATATTTTTTTTTTAATTCTTTATTACTATCCATGCCTTTCAGTCCTAAAGTCGATCGACTCCTTCGACAACATTCTAGATACTCTATTATTATCTATTCCCATTTTTGTTCTTTTCTTTCTTGCTCTGACCTTGTTTTGGGTACTGGAGTTCAACTATCTATTGAGAGAATTTTTCAGCTATAAATGGTTGGTCGCATGTCCATGGTTGGTACTTTATGATGCTGGTGTCTTTCTTACAATGTAGATGGCAAATTTCCTTTGAGGACGACTAAATTCTAAGCCTAAAAGGGCGATAAGGTAAAACTTGGTGATGGTTGATGCTTAATGGTCTGACACTGTTGATATATGATCATGTTAGAATCTGTATACTCATTTAATTGCCACACCTTGTCGTTCTTTAATGTTTTACCCATGTGATTTCCATTAGTGAATATTGCATGGTTGTGGATGGACCCACTTATTTTTCAGTGTGGTTTAACGTTTCCGTGCCATAATATAATTTGTTTTAATTTATTATTGACATCTCTTTAACTCTCTCGGTTTTGTTAGTGTGCTTGTTGCCAATAACAATAGAATTGAGCATTATCAGTGAGCAGACTTGGGTTGTCTGTTGTGTTAGATTGTGTAATGTTATTGTTGCAAAGAGTTTAGGGACTTTCTTAGGTTTTTTGTTTTCTCAATCTACCTGCATTTTCTTGTGATAACATATAGCCAGTTTATTTGATGTACCTTGGTGGACTACTTGGTTTATAGGATTTGCATTTGATTGTGCTACCTATTTGTGGCTATGGGGTTTGGATTGAGTTCTAAAGAGGATTGACTCCTTCGACAACTTTTAGATATTTAATTGTCTATGCTCGTTTTTTATTTTTTTATTCTTTCACACTTATCGTTGTGGCTAATTTAGTTTAGCTATGTATTGAACATATTTAGCTATAAATGGTTGGACGCGCGTATCCATGATTGGTAATCTATTATGTTGTTGGTTGTTCCCTTTAATTGGATTTTGACTTTTAACGTTTATTCCCTTTGTCTTTCGCACTGAATACGGTTCTTCTCTTATATTCTGGCCTTGGTGGCAGACTTGGTTCGGCCTATGAGTTATATTATGCCCTTCTATTGTTGTCGAGAGTTTAGGGACTTTCTTTGGTTTTTTGTTTTCTCCATCTACTTGCATTTTCTTGCGATGACCTAGCATGTTTAATATTTTTGGATCATGATATATTCATTTCCAATCTATTTGGGAGCTTTTGTTTCCACTTGAATTGAAATTCGATTCCAGTCTTATTTGAGAGCTTTTCTGTCCGCAAGAATTCACTTCATTTTATTCTTGTTTACATCAATGTGTGTTCAGTCTTGTGCAATAACTCCTCAATTAAATTTCAGGTGATGAATTTGTGTAGATATTTATGATTATAGGTAGTGTCATGTCCATTGGTGGAGAGTAATGTGACTTTGGTTGGCCATGCTGAGCCTGTTTGTAATATGTTTAATGATTACCTAGGGAAATGTGCATGTCATGTTTTCTGTTGTGTAAATTGTTTTTCACTATCGTGCATTTTTGATTTGGCAAAAAAAAAAAAATATTTGCACTTGGCTGGACTTTGGTTTTTTCAAAATAATTAATAAAAAAATATAATACAAATTCACACTAAGTAATTATTTATAAAATAAGAATTTATAACAAATAATTATATTTTGTTCTTTGAATTATCTACATAGGAATTAACAAATTAATTTTAAAATTTGTGTTTTTATAGAAATTAGAGTGCAAGTTTCAATGCATAATTATATATAAATTTATTTATTTATTTGTAAAAGATCATTATAATTATTATTTCAAGGACACGTACATAAAAGTTGACAAAATATTTTATTTCTAGGTAATTAATGAATGTTTGGAGGGAAAATATTTTTTTCCAAGCTACTTCACTTTCTGTTTATTTCTTAAATGGAGAGAGATTCGAAATTGAAACGCGTACATGGTTGGAGTATCGGACATTCTTAAATGCTTCGAAATAAAACCACAAAATTTGGAGAAAGGAAAGTGTGGAATTTTTTTATATATACTTTCTCCTTTATGTTTATTCTTTTAGTGGGTAGTCCGTGCGATGCACGTGGCAATAATTATAAATTGCATGAACTAAAGTAATGAAACAATATTGATTAGTATATAAAATTATTTTGAATATTGATATTATTTTTTTTCTTTCATGATATATAATAATTTAATATATGTGTTTATTTCACTCCTTATGAAATAATTGTCATTTTGGAGTTTATGTTTATAATTAAGGATATTAAAAATATAATATATGTGTTTATTTCACTGGTTATGAAATAATTGTCATTTTAGAGTTTATGTTTATAATTAAGGATATTAAAAATTTAACATATTCAAATATTATCAGTAAATAATACATACAGTATATTTCTATCTTTATCTTCCTTTATTTATACCTTATTACAATATATTATTTCGATTTCTAAATAAGCTATGCTAAATGTAAAAAATATAGAAAATATTATAACCAACACTTAATTGAAAAAGATTGTATTATATATTATTTTATAGTAAAAAAATTTATTAAATTTTAATTACGTCAATATTATTTTATTTTTTCTTAAAATTTACAATAATGTATATTATAAATATTCTAAATTTTCTTTCTAATCTAATAATTTATATGAAATTTGTTATGATATATTCGCAATATGAATTTTTTAAAAACTGGTTCGATGTAGTTATTGATAAAATCAAATGTAGTTTTGAACTCCTTGAATAGATGGTTTTTGTATATGACTTGTTACCAATTGAATAAAAAATTGGAGGGATTTGTTAATGTTGACATATTAATTCTATTGTAGTATTGTGGTAGTTATATCAATAAGATTTTAGCAATTGATTTTTAAATTTATTTTGCGCTTATATTTTGCTATGTTATCACGCATATTTCAGTTTACATACGGCTAGATATGCCTAACAAAGCAGGAGAACGCATGATTTGTTATTAAGAATAAAATATTAGTTTCTTATTAATGATATATAGTTAAATTTCTTTTTCAAATTTTGAAAAACTAAATTGTTTGAGTTATTGGTAAATCAAAAGATTTTAAACTAATCTTCTTGATTAAATGATTTTTGAATATGCGATAAAAAATATTTTGGTATATGGTTGGTATTAAATGAATAAGAAATCATCGTGATTTATTATCTCCCCTATATACTAATTCAAAACGTGTTGAGCCTAAGTGACAGGCTCGCATGCTTCGGGATCCTATGTGGCAAAATTACATACTTCGTTATTAGGCTTGGTAGATTTTAATTTACTTCTAATCTAAAAATAATTAGGTCCGGATTATCCATAAATATGTTGGATTATTTATGGTCATGTTATATGTATTAATTGCATTTTAATATCATCTATATATATATAATTACTAGCTAAGTAATAAATTTTACCTAATAAATAAAACCTAATAAATTTTACCTATGTGGCAAATCATTAATAAAATCTAATAAATAGAACCTAATAAATTTTATTTATGTGGCATTAATACACCCAATCTCATTAATAAGAAAATATTTTATTACATTTTTTTGGGTTAAGACAAAACCATTATATTTTATGTTAATTGATTAATAATTATATTTTTATTGAATAATATAACAGTTAATATTAAAATTAGTAATTATATTTTATACTAAATAATATATGAAAGTTACATAAAAATATATTTTACACTAAAATCAATATTTTTTATATGATGAAGCGGTTGTTTATTAATAAATTAATTTTTTTTATGTCATAGTAAAATTTCTTAAAATCACATAAGCAATTGTTATAATAAATGTAATATTTTTCAGCTAATTAATTGGTCATGGTCACTCAAAATTATAAAAAGTATATATTTATTACATTTTATGCAATCAATATAGTGATTCGTATACAATCAAATTGTGTGTACTATTTATTTTAACCAATGATCAAATTTTAAAATATAATACTATTATATAATTTATAATTTTAATATTATATACATAAATATAACTTATAATACTATATGTTTGAAATATAATACAATTATATAACTTATAATTTTTATATTATATACATAAATATAACTTATAATATTTAATTTTATTTACATCTGTGCAAATGCACAAAGTCGAATACTAGTTTCTTATTATAACCAATAAATTGTAAATATATTATAAAAATTAATAATTTTTGTATTTTTTATCCCGTTTTACATATATAATATATGAAAATAATTATCTCTTGATGAACTTCGATTTAACATCTATTTTGTATGTATAAAAAATAAATTAATTATATCTATCTTTATAACAATAATAATTTTTTTAATATTAATTATAAAAATAAAATTATTTATCAATTAATATATTTATATTTCAAGTAGTTATATGATATAAGTTATAAAAATTACTATAATATAACACATGTAAGTTGCACAAGTAATAAGTATCATTCTAAAATATATAATAATATATATTTTTTGTAAAAAAGTAAATAAAATTTAAAATAATTTTCTTCATTGTTTTTAAAATTTAAGAATAATTTTTTAACAAGCATTAATACACGGTGTTGTACTAGTTATGTGTTGTACTAGTTATATATAGTGTATACAAACATGCCCTAAGATCCACAATATCACAGTTCATTTCAGTTGAGCTCATCATCTCCAATGTATGATGCATCCATTCTTCACTTACCTCAATTTTACAGCTCCATAGATCCACTCACGGATTCACAATCCGCCGCCGCTGGAAATCAGTGATGAAGACGAAGAGAAAAAATCAACAACAATCCCCGTCGAGAAAATCCCCTAGATTCTCATCTCCTTCCTCAACTCATTTTTCGGCCAAACCCAAACCCAAACCCAAACCCAAACCCGAAACCGAAACCAAAACCAAAACCAAAACCAAATCCTGGTCCGACAAATCATTGGCCCTGTCACTGCCTGTGGTGGATCAGGCTCCCCTTGACATCTGCTATCCTTCGGACGAGGAAGATGAACAACCTATTCGCAGATTGTCGAGATTCACCGCGAACAAGTACAGAACTCCATCGCCAAAGGCCACCGGACCAAAATCGCTTCCTTCTCTGCCTGCGTCTCAACTGAGGAGGTCCCAGAGATCCTCATCCAAGTCTTCTTCATCAGCTCCGGCGTTGAGTTTGAGAGACGGCTTGAATATGGGTCCCGAGCAGAAACGGCGTTTGCTCCTGGATGATAAAGAAGCCGCGGGTCGGGTTAGGAAGAAGACAAAAGAGGATCCGAGTGAAACAGTTCTGAGGAGGTCTTACAGGTTAAAAGGGGTTGTAAGTGGAAATTCAGCCCCTCGACTGCTTGAATTACCCGAGCCTAGTTCTAAATCTGCCAAAAAGTGCTTTTTGAGCGAGAAGTGCTTAAGGTCGAGAAGTGTGTTGATGCATAAGGTGGAGAAGACTTGTACTGCGGAAAATAGTAATGATTTAAGTTTGAAGTGCTTAGGTCCTCCTTTGGCTAAGCATGCATCAGTAAAATCGCCTGGAATTAAAGAGAAGGGGACTCTGAAAAGTGCTTATAGTGGAATATGCTCAAAATCAAGAACTGTTAAACTGAGTGTTGGAAATGATAAAGAGAAGGGGAAAAGTAGGTCCAAGAAAAGTGGTGAAGATGTTAGTAATAGAATAAATGCGAAGTATTTCGGGTCTGAAAAATCAGAGCTCGCTATAATTGAGTTGCCTGAAAGTCCGAGGAATCTGAGGAGAAATAGCTTAGGTTGGTCTCGTAAGGATAGTGGCGAAAGCCCAAAACTTGAGTTGCTTGTGTTATCTGAGAAAAGTACTTTTTCAAATGAGAAGTGCTCAAGGTCGACAAGAAGTGTGAGAAGGCAATTGCAGAAAGAAATGTTGGAGACGGGTAATTCTGTAGTTGGATTGCCTAAAAACTCAACAAATCCAAGGATTAGCTCGAGGAGGTGCCGTACGGATCATGGTGCAAGCTCAAAAGCTGAGACGCTTGTGTTACCACAGAAAAGTGCTTTTTCAAGCAAAAAACGTTTAGAGTTGAGAAGTGTTGAAATGCAGGTGAAGGAAGAAAGCTCTGATAGAGAAGGCTCTGTGTTGAATGAGAAACGCTTACTGTCCCCGAAAATAGAGTCTGTCTTAAACGAGCTGTTTGGTATTAATGAGGAGATGGATGTGGATAAATGTGATTTGGATGTACAGAATGAAAAGTGCCTGCATTGATCTAAAGAGATTCAGTATATGGTTAACACATATGAAAAATTTGAGAACATAAAGAACGGAGTTGAAGTGCCAAGTTCTTCCAAGAGCGAAGCTAATGTACATACAAATATAAATGAATCCGAGAAGAAGGAGAATAGTATTGTGTGCTGTTTTGTAGAAGAGCCGATTCCGGAAGAAGAAGCTCAGAAAAAGTTGCAATGGCGATAAGAATTAAAGGTAGATTACTGAGTTCTGATTTTACTCGAAGAATGAATCTTGGTAGTAGTCTCTTATCACGAGTGTCCAATTATCCATGACACTTGGTTGACGAAAACATCTAGTGGCAGCCAGAAAGTAGTTTAGAATTGTCAGATCTTTGTTTGTGGAAAGGAGCTGAAATGTCAAATTAACTAGAAGAGTGTTTGGTAAATAAGTTGCAGAAGTCCACAGTGCTTACATTTTGGTAAAAGTCTAGTCATACAAAGCAATTATTAGAATCTAATCAATTAATGCAGACATGTGAATGAGAACCAGAAGGAGAAGTTGGCGTTTTGAGAAACAATTCATCAAAAAATATGTTTTCCCTTTTTCAGCTTTTGGCTGATATTCACAATTTTTTCCCTGTCATTCTAGACACCACCTTAGTGTCATCCGAAATCAGAACCTTTAGATAATCCATTCACATTGCAGTAGTTCCTTGTTTGCTTCTTGCTTCCACATTTGTAGTTACTGGCGATTCTTGCATGTGTCCGGAATATAGTGCATGAGCAAAAATTAATTTTTAGACTTGCCCAGTCAGAATTGCCCAGTCATTGTTATCAGAATTGCCCAGTCATTGTTTCTGACTTCTATCAATTTTGACTCAGCAGAGCCATAAACAAGGCAAAGGATGGAAAATAAAGGGAGGGAAATCTAAGAAACACACATCTCGGTGGTAACAAATTGTAGCCCTGTTCCTTGATGCTTTGCATTTTCAGTCATGTTTGTGTTCTTATAGTTTGTTTTAGTTGCTACAGTGCTGAAGAAGATGATATAATTTCATATTGAATGTGGCTTGCCATTATGCTCAAGCTAAAGTCGATAATTTTGTTCTGGATATTGGAGATTATGTGTATGTAAAGGTAATTTTTCATTTCCTTTCATTATAAGTATGTCCCATACTTTTTCTTTATGCACGGCTATAGTTAGCATTTATTTTTTCATTTTAGTTTTCTTTTTCAGCTGAAAGTTAACATTTTGATCATAAGTTGACAGTTTTGATAGTTGCACAATTCTATCCCAACCTTTATAGACATCCAATTCAATACTTAGAAGAAGGATACTTTTAATTATATAGGGAGACAACTTCCACAGAGTACACATTAGTCACACAAACCTCACGGCATAATATATTACCAGAAATCAGAGTTTTATACAGCACACCACACACTTATTTATTACAAGCACACACAGTGCCCAGAGATTTCTCCATCACTGAAGTCTAGGCAGCACACAATAGGCAAACCAGGAAACAAATTCAGATTAGGCCTTATAGAGGCACCCAACCATGAATTTTGTTTAATACATGGTTTTATTTTATTATAAAAATATGTGTTTTTTTCATTATTATAAATTAAGTATGAGCATAAACAGCCAGTTTATGGTCAGAGCTGGCATTCTCCAGGCTTGGGGCTCTCCTCACCAATGTCACAACCTTCATCCAATTGGTCGGACTCACTTTCGTCCTCTGATTGGTCAGACTCACTTTCGTCCTCTGATTGGTCAGACTCACTTTGGTCCAGAGGCAACTCTACTATCACTTCCTCTCCATCAATACCCGAAGCCTCAGCCTATGCATTCACCAGAAATCATTATATTTTATCCATAAAAGAAAGAAAGAATTAATTAAGGAAGTCCTGAATTACGAAAAACATTCAGTTAGCCAGACAAAAAAAAACATGCTCTGATTTTAGATAGGAATTTCAGCGGATATTACCTGTTTGCAGTCGTTAAGCAGTACTTGGACATGAAGGCGGCGTTTGGGCCTCGGCCAAGATCCTTCAGTTTTCGAAACCTTAAGGGTAACAAAACAACCCTCCTGTGTAGCCACATAAGTCGTCAGTAGATACTCTCCTTTAGTGTATTTATACCCATCGCCATCATCTTCGAAAAGGATCCCTTCAGCGTTACCTGGAGTTCAAATTGAATCTGAGTTTGTATTCCGTATTAAGAATATCTATTTTTTGGAAGAGAAAAACTATAAATTACCTTGGTCATCATCTATGGACACAATGAGTGTCAAATCATCAGTAGGTTTAGCGTCAGCAACAGACTCGTGTGGAGGAGCCACTGGAATTATCGATCCACCTTTTAAAAATAACAGCGGCAATTCCTAGGTGTGCCGAAAATGGAGAAAAGTACGTCAAAAAGTGAATAAATAAATTAAAAAAAATAAATAAATAAACAAGTCGTATGAAATAGAGAGGATCACATACTGGACGATAATCTTCGAAATTAAATTCACGCCAAATGCTGCCTGCAGGCAACAACACAGGGATTTCTTTAACATTGTTCTCTTTGTTAGTGCTGCAACATCAAGATCATACAATATTAGAAGCATTAGTTTCCAGTGAAAATGAGAAAATAATGAGTTAACTGAATTATTGATCTCTTGGAATGTAGGACCTGGCATATATGAGAAGTGGTCCCAGCATAAACGCGTTTTCTTGGGATGTAAGCTTAGGATCTGCACAACATTTTCAAATGTTATAATAATACACNAAAAAAAAAAAAAAGAAAAAAAAAAGGAACGGGAGAATATGTACCGGCAAAAAACGTAGGAGTTGCCACGGGAATGCCCCTTTTATGGGCCACGTAAAACAGAGTGTACAACAATGGTAAAATCCGATAACGCCTTCGTAATGCCAGTCGGCAAATTTCTTCAACCTGTGAGATATATGGTAAAAAAAAGGGATGAAATTATCATCACTTGACAAAAATAGTTGAGAGAGAGAGAGAGAGAGAGAGAGAGAGAGAGAGAGAGAGAGAGAGAGAGAGAGAGAGAGAGAGAGAGAGAGAGAGAGAGAGAGAGAGAGAGAGAGAGAGAGAGAGAGAGAGAGAGAGAGAGAGAGAGAGAGAGAGAGAGAGAGAGAGAGAGAGAGAGAGAGAGAGAGAGAGAGAGAGAGAGAGAGAGAGAGAGAGAGAGAGAGAGAGAGAGAGAGAGAGAGAGAGAGAGAGAGAGAGAGAGAGAGAGAGAGAGAGAGAGAGAGAGAGAGAGAGAGAGAGAGAGAGAGAGAGAGAGAGAGAGAGAGAGAGAGAGAGAGAGAGAGAGAGAGAGAGAGAGAGAGAGAGAGAGAGAGAGAGAGAGAGAGAGAGAGAGAGAGAGAGAGAGAGAGAGAGAGAGAGAGAGAGAGAGAGAGAGAGAGAGACCCTTTTTCCAAAAGACCATGGTTCATGATTTTTTGTGTTCTTATTCGAATGTGCACGGCAAAAAGGAAACATGGAGCCTATGCCCATCCACCTTGCAAAAAGTTCAGGTTCAGCATTGCCTATAAATCCACCAATATCAGGCCCTGAGAAAGGCTGACCACTCAGCCCCTGTAAATTCATTAATTTAATTTCATAAACACACACAACACCAAACATATTTATTATTTAAAGAAACAACAAACATTATTAGAAGCATTATAATTAATGATCCACTTGCCAGGTTGAGAACCATGGGGATACTCATTTTAAGGTGCTCCCAATCAGAAATGTTGTCTCCTGTCCACGTGGCAGCATATCTTTGGGTACCCACAAATCCAGCTCGAGTAAGAACAAATGGGCGCTTATTCTTGTTGGCTAGTTTCATGCCTTTGTGTGATGATTTCGCCATAAGCATACCATAAACCTAATATCAAAGTTAAAAATACTACGTGAATGTGATCATAAGCATTAGAGGCTAAATAAAACATGAAAAATGTATTAATAGATTAGTACATTGTGATAGTGTGGATGGTTCTCAACTCCTCCATGAAGTTTATCTCCCCAATGAACATTGTCGCTGGGCATTGTTTTTTCTCCATTCTGTCTCAGAAATATTAGCTAGGCAATGAATAAACAAGAAAAATTGCAAAAGAAAGAAAATAATAATAATAATAATAATAATAATAATAATAATAATAATAATAATAATAATAATAATAAAGAAGGGGATTGAAGTGTACCTCTATCCATACTGCAGGTTCATTCATATCATTCCACAACCCATCTACACCATTAGGGATGAATTCTTTAACAAGCTCTGCCCACCAATCACGAACTCTCGCTTGCGTGAAATCCGGAAATACACTATCTCCAGGCCACACCTTTCCTGATAACAGTTATTGTTTAAACCAAACCAATAAGTAATGCTTTGACAACAAATAAGAAACACTTGAAGAAGAAGAATATCTATTGTATATATATATACCAACAAAAGGCTTTCCATCTGCAGCTTGAACCCACACATAGTCTTCCGTACCAGAATCGTAAACAAAATAGCCCTTATCTTTTTTAATCCCTGGGTCGAGTATCCATATTGCTTTGAACCCTTTTTCATGAAGAGTGTCTGCAAGTGCTTTCGGGTCCGGGAATCTCTTCTGCATTCATCAAATTCAATGTCCGTTATTTAGACCGAATAAAATGGTTTCTACAGATGAATGAAGGAGTGAGGAAAAAACGTACCTTGTCGAAAGTGAAACAACGAAAGCCATCCATGTAATCAATGTCCATCCATATGGCGTCGCAAGGTATGTGTTTCTCCCTGAATGTCTTTGCAATCTGAAAGAAAGCATCAANTAAAAAAAAAAAAAAAAAAAAAAAAAGGCCAAGAAATGTGTTGTATATATATAAGCAGATAGTTGTTAATTAACCTCAAGAACTCTTTCTGCAGATTCATAACTCCAACGAGATTGATGATACCCCAAAGCCCACTTTGAGGGCATAAAAATTGTTCCTAACACAAATAGAGTGGGGGAAAATTAACTATAAACCAGAACTTGGCACACAGGAATAATAATTAATGAATATTTTAGTAGGAAAAACAAAATTCTGAATTGAAATACCAGTTGCTCTTGCGAAAGACGCGAGAACAGCAGATGGCGAAGGAAATGGGCCGAAAGTGATAACAGGATATGGAAATTCCGACACGAATTTTATGGTCGATGGCTCTTGCAGATCAACCTGCAGCTCAAAAAACCCACAATTTTTGTTCCAAAAATAAAAAATAAAAAATTGTACTTGGCAATTCAAAAAAGAAAATCATAAAGAGCACCTCACAAAGTCTTGTTGTATCCGCAAGAACCCCAATCGCGTTCCCATTTTCAAGGAGAGCCAAAACCCATGGGTGCGATTGATACAAGGAAATATTTTTATCGGTATATCCATAGGAATCAGTGTTCCAAGTAACAATCTATTTGACATAAAAGGAAACAAACTGTTCAGCAAATGTAAAATAAGAGAAAGAATGAATTTATTTGGGATCAATTTTGATACAAGCCTTGTTATGATAAATAAGCTTGTTAATTAAGTTATTTAGAAATAATCATTTTTAGATGGCTTACTGTCTTCCCAGTTCTTTCGAGTGGGCCACTGACTTCACCAGTTCCATAGAAGGACGTGTTTGGAGGAAGCTAAGTAACCAAAATAATCACAAATGAAAACAACAAAATATATAAAGAGTCCATATTGTACACTCACAAATATATATATATATATATATATTTATATATATATATATAGTTTAATTAATTAGGTTGTTAATTTATACCTTGATTTTAACAATCTGTTTTCCCTCTCTACATTCGCTCTTGGGAATGTAGGTGGGGAGTGCGGTGGAGTCCTTGAATTTGATTGTTCTATCCCTAATCAGTTGTTTTTGGAAAGAAAAGCTTGGATAAGACGACACTCTGCCGTGTACTGAGCAATCAAATCGAAATACGCCTTCCTCATGAATCTGATGATAATCCATATTTTTTGATCCACACAACTTATGGCAACATTCGTCCATCTTCAGTTTCGAGCAACTTTCATTGTCCATAATTTTTCTTTTCTTTTTTTTTTGTTGTTTTTTTTTGTTGTTTTTTTGTCTATGCCAAGAAAAAGGAAAAAAAAACAACGTCAGCAACAGTNTAGAAAATGAAACATGAGATTTTAGGTAGCGAAAGAAGTAGGTAATAAAATTCAACCTACAATATATGCACCGGATTTGTCTACAGTCTCGTCACGGAATGATTCTGTAAGAGATTTTAGCTATCAGATATACCGTTATTGTTTACAGTTATTTTATCTGATGACTAAAATCCCTTACGGAATTGACGGGATTGTAGACAAATCCTATATGCACCCCTTAGGAAACAAATAAATAATTTTTTTTCCTTTAATAAGAATGGGGTTTACATTAGGTTGGATAATTACTACCTGACCAAAACGAAGGAGAAAATAAAGGTTGGAGGGATGAATGCAGCAAGAAGTTGGTGATCAACTTATATAGATGGGCCTAAGGCCCACAACTTCAACTTTGGACTCTAATAAGAGACCCTCTTTTGCTTTGGAATAAATAAACTCTCTTTTTTTCTTTCGAAGCTGTCTCTAGTTCAAGCCATCAAAGTACCTCATCTAATACCTATACATGGATGTACAGAGCCAACGGATAACATACTTACGTACTATGCATGCACGGACAAATATAGGGACAATTGCAAAACCAACCCTTACATTTGACGTAATTATAAAAAGACCCAAATAACCACTTACTTAGGTTTAGTATTTTTTTTTTCAAGGAAAGGGATAAAGCAGCCCCCATGGCCATATATGTACACTGTAACTGTTGAATAGTTATGTTATTGTGTATAAATACATATAATCCACTGTTGTCAATGCCGAGTTAATTGTTGAGTAGTATGATTAGTTTTAAAATTTTAAACATATATATACTGTTTGATTCATATAATATATATTAAAGTGAGAAAAATAAATAATTTACATATAAATATTATACATTTAAGTCTATTATTGTTGTACCTTGTTACAAATTCTTACTAGATAGACATGAATTTAATTTTATCCTCAAAATAAAAAATTAGCATAGTACAAGAAAAATTAGCTTGGTTAACTGCGTGGTCAGTCGATCTGTTATTTTATAATTCGCGCTGCAATTGTCAGCTTTTCCCTGTATTTGTTCTTGTTTTGTTTTTTGTTTTCGTTTGACTTGATGTATATCAGACATTGAACTTGTAGTTTTGTGACCTTTTCGGCCTATTTAGGGTATTTTATATACAGGTTGAGGGTTCGACCTTAACCCCCACCCTATTGAGGTATTGTTTGAAAAAAAAACAAAAAAACTGCGTTGTCAGTCAATCGGGTTGTGACCGGGTCAACCGAATACCTATGAAACGATCTAAATAAGTAAATAACAAATTCAGTCCAAGTTTAATTTCTGGTCCATGGATGACTCCACGGCCCGGGTGACAAACTTGTCGTTACTCTTAAGAAAGCATTAAATAAAATCAAGAACAATATTTAATTGATAAATTGCATTTAATTTTTGCGGAAGTTCGTTCTCATGAGAATTAAAAGAAAGGCAGGTGTAAAGTAGATATATACTGCAGTCTAAGAATTTAATGTAATAATACTTTTTTTTTTTTCATTAATTTTAGAAAAAAAAATCGTTACATTTTGCACTAATGTAATTACTTTTTTATTTATTATATTACATAGTATTTACTACTAACTAATCATAAAATCACACTACATAATATATAGAAATTATAAACACATTAAAATTTCTATTGCAATTTTTATTTTCAAACTATGTGTTTTAAATTACTGTTATTATTTTTTTTTCAGCCCACTAATAATTTTTCTTACTAGCATTAGTTATTTTTTAAGGCATACCAAACCACTTAAAATTGTCACACAATTACTATAATAATAACTTCAATATTTTTTCATCTAGTTAATTGGTCATAATCAATCAAAATTGCAAAAGTTACATTATTGCAATTAATATAGGATTTATATGTATATTAGATAGTTTATATTTATATAGTTTATTTTATGACTTATAATAAAATTTATAAAATGTAATATGCTAAATATCTAAATTATGATTTTAAATATTATAAATACACATATAACTTATAAATTTTTATTACATTTGTGCGTGGCCACAAGATCGGGACTAGTATTTTAAAGTAAAACATATTTACTTTAATGATAGTAACATTTCTCCAAACCAACATTAGGGCTATATTATCGACCTCTATTTGATTTTATAGAAATCTTAAAATAGAAATCTTAAACCAAGAACTTTGTAGTCAAGGTTATGAAAACCGTACTGATAATCGAACAGGTAAAACAACTTATCAATGCTTTACTAGTTGGATATGTGCTTGAAGCGATATTTAATTTATTATGTATAATAGTTTTTGTATCAAATTATATATATATATATATAAAATATCTTTTATTGAAGTTTTTGATAATTGGAAACATTCAAATGTCTTAGCTTATTGATATAGAAACCTATACATATTCAAAATATTCAAGTATGCATTTTATTTATTATAAAAAATGTATTTCAAAGTATCAAAACTAATTATATAAAAGTTATTTAAAAAAAAAAGAAAAAAATTGGTCCAACTGCCCGATTTTTGAACAGTTCTTATCGATTCGGTCGCTCAAAAACCGGTTCTTCACAGGTTCTTTCACAATAAGCTTTCAAGAGAACTGAACCGCTTACGGGACATGTTCTTGGTCCAACCGCGCTACAACAAAATGATGAAATTTCAACTGAAAGTTTCTAATTCAAATATATTTTAATGGAATTCCAACGGAAATTTTAACAAAAATATTATGTTGGAATGAGTTTTCCGTTGGATTTTGATGATTCCAACGGAGGTGGAAATAAAAATTCTAACAGAAATTGCATATTCCAACGGTAAAAAACCGTTGAAAAAATAGCCGTTGGAATCACTAAATTCCTTCTAAAATTCTAATGGAAAAGTCATTTCAATGCAATATTTTCATTGAAATCATTTCAACGGAAGCTATACCATTGGAATATCCGTTGGAATATATTATCGTAGAATTTTACATTGGAATATAACAATTTTTTTGTAGTGTCGGTTCGACTTGCTAATATGGTCTGGTTCTCATTGCTGTATTACTGATTACTAAAGGCTAAATTCAATGGTGGTGTCTTGAGTTGTTAAACGAAATAAGCCGCTCGTGAGCTTGACTCATTTCATAAATTCATTGACGAGTCGGGTTTGGCTCAGCTCGACAAGGCTATCGAAAAGAAAATTTTATGTGATTTTCAATATTTTAGCTCGTTAAAACTAGAGAACGGCTCATTAATGATCAAACTTGTCTCTTTAATATTGATAAACGAGCTGAGATCGAGCTCGTGAACCCTAAGCTCGAGGTCAGTACAGCTCGTTTACAACTTTAGTGGTGTCTTCATTTTAGTAACTATTGTTGTAATTGATGTTAGATTGCATCAATTTAATTGTAATATCCACTTAATTGTGGACTTGTTACATTGTTATCTCAATTAAGTGTGGAGTTATGAAAATCAGACTTTAAAGTCTTCATTGAATGGTTGCATCATACAATTATAAATATGATGTTTTGTGCATCTTGAAAGGAGACAATACGAGACAAGAAAATAAATTAGAGAAATATACAATAATCTTTATATATTGCTTTTCTCTTGTTGAGTCGAAACCATCAAGGCTGCTTGAGTTCTAAAGCGTGGAGGATACCGGCGACTCTAGTAGCCACCAGATTGAAGATACAGACAAATTTTCGCTTCCGCTACATAAAAGTTAGTCATATATATTTATATATATGTTATAGAAAACCAGTAACAGTGACATTCACTACTTTTAAATCACGATATTTTTAAAACTTAGCTTTCTTTTACTTTACTGAAGTTTTAAAAGAACCTTAAGTTTAAAAATGAGATACGATGCTATGAGTCTATATTCGCATTTTGTTTTTAAATCAAAATAAATCATAGAAAGGTAAAAAAATTTACTAATCGAGAAATTGAATATCTTATAACCTTTTAAAAAAGGGTTAATTGCAGATAAAACCCTAACCTTTTGTTAAATTGCAAATAAAACTCAACTTTATAAATTTGGCAAAAAAAATACTAACCTTTCATAAGTGTTGCAATTGTGTCTCAACCGCCACCCGCCGCCGGCCAACTTCGTCGGATGTTGAAAATTTTTATATGATCTTGTAGCTCTCCTCTGTGCCGACAACATATCCAAGTTTCACGAAAAAATTCCGACGATAAGAAGATGACCGGAAAAGTCGTCACCGGAAAAAGTCACCGATTTCGGTGAAGGTGGACGTCAATAGATGCAGCTTTGCGAGAGGAGTTCAACGGTATCTTCGGAGTCACGTGGGTCAAAACAAGTCACTGGGAATTTGCGAAAAAGCCGGATAAAATTTGTAGATCTACGAGCTTTGACCGAAAAATTGGAAGCCTTATCGTCGGAATTTTTTCGTGAAACTCGGATATGTTGTCGGCACGAAGGAGAGCTACAAGATCATGTAAAAATTTTCAACATACGGCAAAGTTGGCCGGCGGTGGGTGGCGGTTGACGGCGGCGGGTGGTGGTTGAGACACAATTGCAACACTTATGAAAGGTTATTATTTTTTTTGCCAAACTTATAAAGTGGAGTTTTATCTGTAATTCAACAAAAGGTTAGAGTTTTATTTGCAATTAATCCTTTAAAAAATTCTTAAATAAATACCTTTAAACTTTTAAGAAATTAAAATGTGCAAATTAAATATACAAATATTATTATATTACCAAAAAGTCTTTAAAATCTTAATGAATATTCCCTCAAGTCTCAGGGATGTCGGATTCCTAAATTAATAATACTCATAGCAAGGTTATCTAATTTAGAGATGTTGGAAAAACATTGACCGCCCATTTTTCATTTCTTAATTAGGGATGTCGGATTCCTAAATTAATAATACTCATAGCAAGGTTATCTAATTTAGAGATGTTGGAAAAACATTGACCGCCCATTTTTCATTTCTTAATTAGTATTTGGAAAAGTGAAAGAAACTAAAGCAAAGTTTGAGGGAGAAGT